TGGTAATTATAATAATACATATTTGTAACAGAATATGTATTTATAATGAAGAACATTGCAAGCATTGTAACGTGGTTATAGTAATTTTTACTAGTACGGTACCTAATTTAATATTTTGATACTGGATTAGTAAACAATTTTTTGCCACGCTTGCGCCGATAATCAAATTTTCAATGCTGATTATTGAAGCATTGAAAACTATACTATATGTAAATTGTAAAGTAAACGTTAATAACGGCTAAATAGAAGGGTAGAAATCCTGCTAAGCATTAGAAAAGGTCGAAAAAAGGTCCAAATCAAATAATCGGGTATACAATATGCAATTTTTCTCGGTACGTTTATTCGAACATACTTATATAAAATATAATCTATTAGGTGGGTAATTCCTGTGCACTGTCATATGAAACAATTTGGTAAATCTAGATCAAAAACAGCAATTACGGTTCATTTTGAAGTATCATATCGGGCGATACCCGTTTGCGAACATTTAACCTTTTTTGCGACTCGTTTGCGTACAAATGTTCAACTCAATTGCGCACACGAATTTTTAATACCTTTGATAAATGACCCAAAACGTAGGACTCGTTTGCGCACTTAAACTATGGAAAAAGTCTACTAAAACTCAAAAGAACTAACAAAAATAATGTTTAAGATTGTATTTCTCACTTTTACAGGCTTAGGACTGTCTGCATACAACAGGCGTGATTGAAAATGTTTTTTTTTTTTTTGTTGACCAACACCTTTTGAGATTACGTGAATTTTATCGAAATTTGCACTGCAAGTTACAATATAAGTCTAATTTAATAAATGTACGCAAACGAGTCGTCATTTTTCGGGTCATAATTTGTATTATCTGGGTTTCACGTTTTCTAATCTACGCAAATGAGTTATCAGTTTGCAGGTAAGAAATTGTGTACTGTGCGCAAACGAGTATCACTGATCATAACATGGATATACGCGTTTTCAGAGGTGATTAAGGCGTTACATTAAATATTATGAATAGTTCGTTCGGGAAAACAATTTAATTTTGGTTGAATGTCATCTCTGAACTACAGCTCGTTAAGAATAGTTGACAGTAACTAAAACTCCCCTCATCCCACCCTTTCCACAGAATATATTATTATACATAATACATATAATGCAAATATTCACTTTTATTTATGATCTGACATTTTACAGAAGAAATGGCATCACTCCAGTTAGTATCTAAAGATAGTAAGTTGAACTATTAAAACTGTTGCTATTGCTTTATAGTTATGTTGTTTTGGTTAATTAATAAATATAAAATAAAAGCGTACTAATTTTATATGACTAACTTTGTTATAAAACTAAATATAAAATATTTAACTAATTAGAAACAGCCAAAATGTGTTCATTGATTACAAACGAGCTGTTGATAACATGACATAGAAAGCCAAAAAACAAATAATAACTGTCTCAATGTAAATGCTGTGTCTATCCAACCCAAATGATCACTCTCGATACAAAAATAATGTACATAAAAATCAATATTATACAAAATACTTAAGGCCTGTTCCCAAAAATAATACGATGCTAATCTCCTGCACCTCTTACTCCTGTTTTTTGTATTTCCTTAGGGTTGGAATATCTGCCTATATTCATGTGTAATCATCGATATGTATATTTTTAAAAACCAACAGTGTTCTTGAATTTCCTAAAGCCAAACTATTATATTATGATGCACTATTATTAATTGTCCTTTCTGAGATACTTGACATGATAATACAAGTTACACGTTCACGTTCTGTCAGTTTCTTGAATTTATATTTTTATCCCAATTATTCTTATTATATGACATTCGATCTTCCACATGTTTTTCTTGTATATTGATTAAGTAATTAATGTGCTTTGTGTCAGCTTGCTGTATATACCACACTTGTTTTTCCAAGCTCATGAGTCAGGATCTGAGATCGACTATCTGTATTTTACTGCATGATTATTTTTGGTGCTATTATCAAAATGACCAAAATACTAAATCGATAAAAATTGTGCAACCAATGTTGTTTTTACACTTCAAAAATTGAATGAAATATTTTAGTCAGATTTTCTGTCCATTACGAAAAATTAAATTTTATGGTCATACTTAATTACATTAGGCTAAATTATAATTTATTTTTTCATTGTGTTTATGTACACAAGTATGTTTATACACATGTTTGTGTTGATTATACTGAAATATTAAAACACAAAAATACTGAGATTTATATATAATATAGTTAATACTTTTTTATATCAGGTACTAATAAATGGATAAATAGCGTCAGCTTTGATGAAAAAATGGCTGCCATTAATGGTTAGTATACATTTCTAGTGTTATATTTCAATACATATTCAATACATAAATATTTCCTACAATGTCCATAAATATTTTTTGGAACGGTTTATCTGTCGTGGAAGTGACAACCATCGGTTGCTTTGAATGCTTATTTGAAGTTTTATTCTTCTGGCATGATTGACATTTTTGTACATATTCTGCTACTGTCCTTGACATTCCTGGCCAATTATACAGTTTTTAAATTTTTTTATAATACTCGAAATCTCTGTGTGTCCTGCCAAAAGATTTCCGTGCATTTCTTTAATCTTTTATTATAACTTTTTTTCCTGATCCGTAAGTTCATTTGGTGTAAATATTTTGACAACGTTATTGTATTTTGTAAACAAAACAAGATAATATGATTATACGAATAATATAAATATAAATATATATACATTATAATAATTCATTTAACATTGGATAACATGAGTGAAAAATTTCGCCAAACAATTTACATAATAATTTTGAAGTAGTGAGGAAGTGGATGATGGTTTGACCACACACCGATTACCTTTCCGAACTTATCACTGTGACGATTACTTGTCCGAGTGCAGCCTTAGCGCAAACACCTATAATACTTAAATAATTATATAAAACTAGCTGAACCCGTGCACTTCGTAGCCCGTTAAAAATTCTATCTCTTTTATTGGTCCATAGTTCATATTGTGTGTTAAATTCATTTCATGTGATGATGCTATCAGTATATTTTTATACATAATGATAGATAGTGGTTAAAAATATATTATAATTTTACAACGATATTCAATTCCGTATATCATTATGTAATTTTCTTAGTTTTTTCAATATAATGTTGACAATTTAAATATTCAATTCAATGATATTTAGGCATAACACTTTCTAACTTACCATATCTTCTGCCCTATGTCTAATAAAATTCTGTACCAAATTTTGTCACAATCGGTCCAGCTGTTTAAGAATGTATGTAGGACTAACAGATAAATATATATATAACCATCACTAATCACACAGAACAATAATAAYCGCTAATAATAACCGTCACTAAAGCAACCATTTATAAATAAACAAAAATGTCCATCCTAAAAATAAGTCYAGCTGCTCTYGAGAGCACTTGTTTCTTTAAATGGTTGCCTTTCACTACCAAAACATATTAATATTATTTATTTTATTTYTTAYTGGGCAGATGGCGCCACTTTAATTTCATCACACCCTCATCATATTTCTCTAACCCGATAATTTTCTCAAATTTTTCATCCATAAGAACCTTCTCCTGGCAATTACGACCCAAACAAAAAAAGAGTGAGCGAAATCGGTTCAGCCGTTCTCAATTGATGAATTGTTATACATTTTGTCTCTATTTTTATATATATAGATTTATATTTTTATTTGTATCTGCTAGAGGGCGCCACCGGTGTTACTCAGTTTTTGTCTCTAAATCTCTAACTCACAGGAGTTAGGTCCATAATTTATGCTATAAACCCGCTCTCCGACATTCTCTATCATTTAAAAAAAAATTTGAGCCAAATCGGCCCAGCCGTTCTCAACTRATGCAATTTCGAATTTTTTGTCTCCATTTATATATATATATATAGAAAGAAAAGATATGATAATTATTATCATATTTTTTTCGATTAATATCATCTTTAAATTTTTAAACGTTTATAATTTATGTGTATATTTTACAAAAGGAACAATGAATACTTAATTGAACCGAATTCAAATTGTTTCAGAGACAATATTTGTTAAATATTTGGAATGTTATTCCCAGGACGGATCAAGTAAATTAATGTTGTTCGGATCTAGAAAGTTTCGGCACCGACAGTTCGGCGTAAACATTTCGGCGATAAGTCTATTTGACGATATTTATTTCGGTGCGTGAYCATTTAGGCGACACGGTCATTTACTTATGTCTGTAATATTGTCTCACCTTATGGCGTGTCGCGTGTGGTATAGAAATGTTATCTTTATTACTATAAATTATTGTTATTATTACTACACGATAAAAGGGGATCACGATAGTCGAAATGGATAATCTGATGACCGTAGACCGGTCAGATAATTGTATAATTTTTAGTTAGTTGGCTTAAAGTGAAGTACCTATACGTAGTGAAGTATTTTTTGTATAACCACCAGCACGATTTATTTATTTTAAACATTCGTAAAAGGTAAATAATTAAATAAATTTGTAAAGTCCCCTCAGGGGGTTGTTAAGTACTAGCACTACGGGTTTGGCGAACCTGAGGCCACAAGCTCTGAGCTGACCCTAATTGGTTGGCTCAGCCTGATTCTCCAGGTTGGGGGTTTGGTGGCGGGCAATAACCCGTCACTGTAATTCTACTGTTAAGAAACCAAAACTTAAGCTCCAGGACAGAGATTTGGGTAAAACCTAACGGAAACGCCCCAACAAGGATTTATAGGCACATGGAATGTAAAAACTTTATTATAAGGCAGGATCCCTTGGTACACTAGTCGATGCAATAGATAGATATAAGGTAAATATAGTAGCGTTAGAAGAAACGAGATGGCAGGGTGAAGGATGTCTACCAATAGGTAACATGAAATTATTGTGTGGTGGTCTAACAACTAATAAGCATGAGAATGGGGTGGGTTTCCTTGTCCATAATAGTCTAATACCATGGATTAAACAATTTAAGGCTATAAATGACCGAATATGTTACATTCGGATCAATATGAACCACCGGGACATGTCAATGATTTGCGTATACGCACCAACTGAATCAGAAAATGAAGAAGCAAAAGACACATTTTTATGAAGGGTTGGAACAAGTATATAACACTTTAACAGGATATTGCATTAAATTATTATTGGGAGATATGAACGCTCAAGTAGGAAAATAAAATGCATACAAAGCGACGGTTGGAAATCATAGTCTGCACGACTGAAGCAATTATAACAGAATAAGATTAATTCATTTTGCAATTACTAAAAATTTGGTAATAAGCAGTACAAGATTCCCAAAGAAAAATATTCAAAAAGAAACGTGGTTATCTCCTGAAGGCAGATTTAGTAGCCAAATTGACCATGTCCTCATAGAAAATAAGTATAAGACGATTATAAGAAACGCCAAGAGCTACAAAGGAGCAGATGCAGACACAGACTATTACTTGAACCTGATTGACTTCAAAGTAAAGATGTCCATGGAATGGAAAAGAAAACAAAAAATACTCGGAAAATACGATGAGGATAAATAAAAAAATGAAGAATCATTACGGACAATTTCAAGAAACAGTAGCAAACTTCTTAGGAAAAAAAGAGATAATGAACAGGATGATGAGTCATGGAAAGTAATAAAGGCCTAAATAACGGAATCTGAAGAAAAAGTCATTCAACACACACAAAGAAAGAAAAAAAGAAATGGTTTTATGATATTTGCAAGAAAGTAATCAAGGAACATAATGAAGCCAGAATCAAGGTAATCAATACACCAACTCTCGAGAATATAAGGAACTTCGAAAACAAACGAAGAGAAGTAACTACACTGATAAGAAAAGAAAAGAGAATTAGAGGAGATTGAAAGCTTTAAACACAACCCCAGAGAATTCTTCAAACAATGCAAAACATTTAAAAATGGATTTATACCAGGTATACAGACGATAGAAGATAATAATGGTAAAAGACCGGAAAATATAGCTGAGGAATTTATAATGCACTTTGAAAAACTCCTTAACAGAGGCTCATCAACGGAAGTAGACGAACAAGACGACATCATACATTATACAGCAGAACCAAAAGTATTAAATCTGAGTTTATAAGAGGCAGTATGCAATTCAGGCTTTTAAAAATAATATATCACCAGGAGATGATAAAATTGTAGGTGAATTATTGAAGTTAGGAGGGCAAAACTTAGCACAAAAATTTCATCATCTAATTCAACAGATATGGACAAATTAAAAGATACAACAAGACTGGAATGAGTCACTGATATGCCCAATTTTCAAAAAAGTAGAGAATTATAGATTTTATATTTCCTAGACATTTTATAGAGTACCAAAATAACTTTTGGCAAAGTATTAAAATAGTTGAGATTAATTTCATGACAGTATACTATATTAACATTATAACATTTTAAATTATGATATTATTGTATACTACTACTATTAGTTACAACATGATAAGCTAGAATGACAACGGGAGTTACACAATACTTCGTTTTTAACACACAAACATTTTTTTCTTTGGCACCTTGTTTTGTATGTACATTTTGTAAACACCTGTCCACTGCCTGTTGACTGTTGACTAGCAACAGATCGCAATGCAAGCTCTTCAGCTGGTACCTCATACAAATGCAATAGTTTTTTTTTGACAAACAGTGATCTGTGGCCTAACATATACTTGTCTTAAAGTTCCATTCTTGGTACTCAGTCGATAAAAACCATCATCTGTAATCTTTTAAAAAAATACACAGTTAATAATAATAAAAATTTAGTTTAAAATATGTTTAATATTTAACTAACTGCTAGTATGTTTCGAGCATCTAAACGACCTTTATCGACTTCCGGTACTGGAATCCGAACTATAGAACCAATCTCAACTGCAAGAAGTTTTTTTGTCTGATAGCTTTTTCATTTTATTTTTATTTCAAACATTAAAATAAATTAAAATATGAAATAATTGTAGTTCTTATTCCTGTGAGTCTTATTACAAAACCAGAATTTCGATATCACCATTATTTCGGGAGATATCGCAATAGGTAAATCCTCACGGGACCCCCTGTATTATAACTAGTCATTTTATTTATTTATTATTTAAAGTGACGGTGGTATTTATATATTTTTAACTGTATATATACAGTTAATATATTAGCAATAAATAATTATAATTATTTTGGCTTATTTGTTGATTTATGATTTAAAATTACTTATTATATTTCAGAATACGTTTTTACATTATAATATTGCAAATTTTTTTTAATCACCGAAATGGTCACGTGTTGAAACGGACATCGTTGAATTGATAATATCTGCCGAAACGTTTGCGCCGAACTGTCGACGCCGAAAAGTACCATTCCCTATTACCATTGTAAATGATTGTTATGTATTATTAATATAAATAATAACATAAACGTATTATATAGATATTTATTGTTAACAGTAAACAGTATATCGTAATGACGAACATTATAGTTCTACTCGCTAATAACCGATGGACAGTCCCCACCGATCGTAATATGATACTTATGATTATTGTTAGTATACACAGTATAATACGTGTAATATCATATAATATAAATGCTGAATATACGTCATCATTTTCCTTAAAAAAAATATAAATAGTATTTTGTGCATTACTTATTCGCCATGTTAGTGTGTTAGTAAGTTTAATTACATTAATTATAATCACTTGGAGAATATCGCTGAGGTGGTATTCTAGATCTAATTGGTCTGGGTGTTTTATTTATTATTGTAGTATCAGGATCTTGTTTTGCGCCTACTGTTTATATTTTTAGTATTTTCATTTATTTGCCTAGCGGGTGTAAGTTGAATTATTCGCTGGTGTCAGTGATTTATCAATGATTAATAATTTATCATTGTGTCTCTTCCAATTAGTTCCGTCATCGAGCTCTACATCGTGTGTATTACAACTAATGGATTTGATAATTTTACCCTTTTGCCATCTATTGTTATTATTCCTATAATCTCTAGCTAAAACAGTATTAAATGATACTATCCTATTACCACCATTGTTTATTTATGATATTTGTCGTTCAATAATCACTTCACTTGTATTCGGCATTAATGCGTCAAATTGTAAACGAGTTGATCGACCTAACATTAGCTTAGCTGGCGCTCATCGTGTTGTTGAATAAGGTGTATTACGATACATCAAAAGAAATTTATTTAATTGGTATTGTGTATTCGAGCATTTTTAAAGAAATATTTTATTGATTTGACTGCTGATTCCGCACAGCCATTTGATTCTGGGTGAAATGGAGCGCCTGTCATATGCCTTATACCTARATTTTTGCAATATGTTTGAAATTCAAAACCTGTGAAATTTTTTGCACCATCTGGTGTAATTGTTTTTGAAATTCCAAATCGTGCTATCGTTTCTGAAAATTTTTGAATAACAATTTCTGCTGCTATAGAATTTATTTGAAATACTTTTAATCATTTTGTGGTTGCGACATCAATGACAAAAATATATTTATTTTGAAATGATCCAAGAAAATCGCAATGCACTGTAGTCCACGGTTTTTCTGGCCATTTTCAAAGCAATATTACAGATTTTGATGGATTTTGCCTGACATTAATACAATTGTCGCAACTTTGTGTGATATTTTYGATTTCTTTGTCCATTCCTGGCCACCAAAAGTATGATCTCGCTAAACTTTTCATACTGGAAGAACCCATATGATCATATGATATGAATGAAGTTCCTTGAGTATATTATTTCGAAATTTAGCTGGTATAATAACACGGTAACCCCATAATAGGCATCCCTGTTCCACTGCGATTTGAGTTTTTCGTTAATTATACGAATTAAGTTCTAAATTTTCAATAAAATCACTATTCCATTCTCCTGTTTTAACTGCGTTTAATACTTTGGCGAGAATTGTGTCTCTACTTGTTTCAATTTTTATTTTAGACCAGTCTAATGTGAAACATGATTGTTCGTGAATAAAATTAAGACTAATACATTCTTCATTATGATTTTCAATTTTGAACCTTTTATTCGTGATAAAAAATCGGCTGTATTATCTTCAGATTTCACATATTTTATGTCGAAATCGAATGATGATAAAACATAGGCGCATCGTTGTAACCTATTAGCTGCGTAAATTTGGATACCTTTCTTATCACCGAAAATACATAACGGTTTGTGGTGGGTTTCTAATAGAAAATGCCTACCATGCATATAAATAGTCATACAATTTCGTAATACCGTAAAAAAATTGCTAAAACTTCTTTTTCAATTTGTGGAAATTTACATTCTGACTCAGATAGAACTCTTGATRCGTATGCTATAGGTTTTCCAGTACGATCTAGGTACACATGGGAAAGAACTGTGTCTAGTYCATAAGACGATGATGTGATGAGTCTACAACGAACTTAATCGGAATATTATGATCCTAATGTGCCAATACTGGTTTCGAAATTAAAATTTGTTTGACTTTATTGAATGCTTGGTCACATTCTGGTGTCCAATTCCATTCACTGCCGTTACGTAAAAGAGTGTACAATGGTTTTAAAATCTTTGCAGCGATTGGAATAAATTGTATATAATACGTAACTAAACCTATTAATTATTTTAGCAATGTTTTATTTTCTGGGACAATGGCATTGTTTATAACATTTGTATGTTTTGTTAGTGTGTGTAAACCATTTTCRTCTAACCTGTGACCCRAATAATCAATTGACTTTTGTATAAATTTGCATTTATTCAACTTTACTCTTAAACCTGCATTTGACAATACATTTAGTAATTTGTCTAAACGAGCATTGTGCTTTGTGATAGTAGAACCTGCAACAATAATGTCATCTTGKAATATACCTATGCCCTCAAGACCTGCTGTGGAAGTTGCCATAGCTTTTTAAAAACTCCCCTGCTGACGACTTTATTCCAAGAGGGTTACGTGTATAGCTCAATAAACCTTTATGTGTGTTAATAGTAGTATATTTGCGATCAGATTCTTTAATAATCATTTATTGTTATGCGTCTTTTAAATCTATTTTCGAAAAATATTTTGAACCACTAATCTTTGCATATAAATGTTCTATTTTTGGAAGAGGGTATTCAGTCCCTTCTAATACCGGATTTATTRTTATTTTAMAATYACCRCAAATTCTAACCDTGCCGTCTGGTTTTAATATTGGTACTATTGGAGTAGCCCACATTCGCTATGGTCAACGGGAACTAAAATGTTGCTTTTGACTATTTTCCCTTTAATGCTAAAGGAATAGACCTATGTTTGTAAAATTTAGGTAGCGCCCCCACTGTGATATTTAATGAAAATTCGTATTTGTTAAAAATGCCTATTTCATTTTTAAAAACATTGTTATATTTTTTTATAATACTATCGACACGTAATTTTCAATACTAAACAAGGTAAAACATTTTATATTTTTTTATCATTTAGACCTATTATTGGAGGAATACCATTGTCGATAACATAAAGGCACATCGTAATTTTTTTATTTTGGTACACCGAATCGATAAATATTATTCCCATCGGTTTAATGTCGTTGCCGACGTAATCAGATAACGAAATGTCATTTTTTTTTAATTTGATATGACTTAACAACTGTGACAGTTAAAACGTCAACTTTAACAGTTGACGATATAATCTTTTTGAAATTACGCTGTGTTGTGAACCGGTATTAATTTCGAAGCTTACATTTTTGTTTTCTACTATTAAATTTACTGTAAACGGTTTCACCGCACTATTTTGAGAATTTTGATGAATTAGGTATGAAAAAAAAATTAGGTATTCGAATGATCATAATTAACTGTTTCGTCATCATCATTCTTATGATACAAAAATGTATTTTGTATTTTGTGTTTTGTTATTTTTCTTTCTTTTTACATACTGTGGACAAATGACCTTTATCACTGCAATTGTTGCATTCGAAGTTCTTGTATCTGCAGTCTTTTTGAAAGTGATTGGAACGGCCACAAATGTGCCTTGGCACAATGTCCATTTTTTTTTTTGGTACTTCAAGACTGCGTATTCTTTTTTTTCCAGCCACCCTTGTCATTTATTGCAGCTTCCTTTATTTCCATTAAATTTGTCAATTTTGACTTGAAAATTGTAATATCCATATTTGTTTCAAAGTTTCCAGGTGACCCAATAACTTGATTGAAGATCGTTATGGATTCTGTCTTAGGAGATGCCATTTTGTATTAGTATGAATACAACACTTGAAACTTCTAATGCACTAATGATTACGATTAAATTATTATTTTCTTCGTCGCCAATTTGTTATGTATTATTAATATAAATAATAACATAAACGTGTTATATAGACATTTATTGTTAACAGTATAAATCGTAATGACGTATATTATAGTTCTACTCGCTAATAACTGATGGACAGTCCCCACCGATCATAATATGAAACTTAAAATTATTGTTAGTATAAACAGTATACGTGCAATATCATATAATACAAATTATATCACCTAAAATAAAAATTAATTAATTTTATTAAACTTTTGTTATTTTAAAGATTATGATGAAGAACAAAAATGTGTACCAAATGATTTTTGTATAAATTACAGTGGAATCACCGGAAACTAAGAAGATTAATTTTGTATTACGTTATAGGATGAGGTATAGGTAAATAATATATTTTAACTTAATCTTTTGTGATAGTGTGATGCTTTAATCAGGTTTGGTTTAGTTAATGCTTTTTATCTTTGTTCATGACCAAAATGTATTCAGTCAACGTCAAGCAAAAAGTGGTTATTATTATTCATTTTGTAATATCATTTATACAGTTTAAAATTTGAAAATACATATTTTTTTAATAATACATTTTAATCAAGGTTGTTTACTATAATATTATATTACAGCTATGTTTGTTTTTAAATAAAAAAATTAATATGTTTGGTATTTCCAAATGGTTTGGTAGTTCTTTATTTATTTTATAAAAGCCAGAAACATTTAATTGTATATAAGTAACCTCAAACTATCAGATCAATGTGTTAAGAACCCTAAATATTACATATATCTGTATAATAACACAGAAACATGGCGGAACATACAACACTCATCTTGTTAAACTTCAGATTACAATGAATGGATTAATTAAAATAATTTTACAAAGCCAAGCTTACATTCTACTGTAAACTTGTTTAATGAATTTAGAATATTTAATTTAAAATTACTTTACTTTAAGAATGCATTATATAATTATTTTATTATATAATTGTACTATAATWTCTCATTTAACTGACTGTTTTGAACTCACACACCCTAAGAACAAGCTCTGCTTTTTGGGGAGGTGTCAAATTTTTTTGTTGTATACTTTATAGTATATCTATTATCTTAATCTATGTTAATCTGTTATGTAAAAATAAACTATTATTATTATTAATAACATATATAGAAGTATTTAATTACAATCATAATGCAGAGTGTGTGTCGGATGATGCTGCGGCCGAGGGATCCACTGAATTAGCAGGTACAAGCAAAAAAGAAATTAGACGCCTATATACAAGCGTCTATCCATTTACTATATTGAGCTAATATAAATACTACCTCTATTGTAAGTTTAACGTAGGTAGTGGTGTCTGGTGTATCACTATATCAGCGTGTGAGAAAAATGACAAAATATTCAATTAAAAACCTAAGAATTATTGTTCGAGACTCGTATATCTGGCCGTCTCCGTGAAACCACTAATGATGTACCTACTCCGCGCCTCAGCCGATATCAGCGGTTGACAGATAAGTTATGTCACCGGCGAGGCGAACCGACGGACGCCGACGGCGTCTGTGTTGCGTCTAGCGTCCGTTCGATCCGCCTGTCTTTGCGGCCGGCGTTGGTGATCGTTGTCGTCGTCTCTCTCGTGCCGTACGTCCGGCAAGTTTGTCGCAACACTGCCACGTGTATATTCGCCGTTTTGCGTGCGCTTTGGCCGTTACGACGGAGTGACCGTACGATCGAAACATTCTCGGACTTAATTCCGATCKGGCRCTCGTTTWGGGCTTAAGGATTATTATAGTGCACCGTGGTCCGGTCATCGCGTGGTTTTGCTCGTGTTCGAGAGCGACYGGTACGGCGCCGGTGTTATTGTGCCTGCAACACGCGACGCTTTAATATAGCAATCATCGTCGGTGGTTTCTTGCCGTTGTGTACCATGTAATTTCGGCGTATATTATTGTATGTGGGCCGTTATAATGGTAAGGTAGGTACTCCCAACATACGTTGCGGCCG